AGGATGGCGCAGGACCGGGCAGTGTTTCCTTCTGTTGGGCATAGAATCCAATATGGGTGGAAGCCGACTTGAGGGCAATTAGCAAAAAAAACAGCAAACCTAGTTCATAGCTTTAGGACATTTCTGCGCTTGATTTCTAGAAGATTAACTGCAAACTGTTTCAGCTTTCTGAAGAATCTAGGTATGAAGTTTTTCTTGTCCCTACATGACATTCTTTTTTTAAGGGTAGTATTCTTTTACATGACATTTTTGAAAAGGACAAAACTTTAGTGATGGTGAACTTATTAGTGGTTTGCAAAGAGTATAGATGGGGGAAGGGGTATGATTATAAAGGGATAGCATGAGGAGTATTTCGGGGGAGGTGATAGAAATTTTTCTGTATTGTGATTATGGTGTATTAACACAAATTGATACGTATTTAAAATTTATAGAACTGCACACCATAAGAAAAAAATGTCAGTTTTACTGTATGATCATTTAAAAATAAAATAAACAAGTGAAAAAAGAAAAAGACAAACCAAAGATTGTGATAAAGTATTAGCATATGCCTATCCCATAAAGGAAGAGCCCTGGTGGCACTGCAGGATAAGCACTGTACTGCTAACCACAAGGTTGGCAGTTTAAACCCACCACCTGCTCCTTGAAGGAAAGATGTGGCTTTCTGTTCCCATAAAGATTTACAGTCTTAGAAACCCTATATAGTGTCGCTATGATTCAAACTCAACTCCATGGTAACTGTTGTTGTTAAGTGCCATCGAGTCAGTTTTGACTCATAGCGACCCTATATAGGGTTTCCAAGGAGTGGCTGGTGAATTTGAACCGCCAACCTTGTGGTTCAAACCAACCTTTCGATCCGGTGCTTTATCCCACAGCAGCATACCAGGGTAGCTAATACAAATATATTTTTAATATACATACAGAATTCTACAATTAAAACATGGGTAAAGATTTGAACATATATATATATAATTTAATAAACGTTTTATTATGAATTGTGTGATAGTTTACATTGGAGAACATTAGTTTTACATTCATTCTATCATACATCATTTCATTGCCATAGTTACCATCCCGTCCATGCATCATCACCCACCCTGCAAGCCCCCCCACCCCACGGTCCTCAGCACACAGCCCCTTTCCCTCTCTGGATCTCAAGTCCCCAGCCACTCCATCTCTTCACGTCATCTTCTCTGCCTCCATCTCAGGCCTCACTGCTTCTCTGGGTAGGATCCCGCTCTCCGTTCTTCTCCATTTATGGTCCCAGGGCCCTCCGCTCCTAGACTGAAAAGTTAATCACTCCCCTCCTTGCTATAAAATGTCCACTTTTACATTTATAACCCTCACAACCAGTCCCGATAACAATTATTCACTATTGCATCACAAGAAATCCATCTGCATTTCATTTCATCAGCCCTTCCTAGACAGGCTGGATACTATTCCCTGAAGACTCTACCTTCCTCCACGTCCTTTGGATCTAGGTTCCCTCTTGAAAGCTTGTAAGCCAGTCACTTCTTACCTTTGTATCCCTCCCCCCATTTTGGGTAGCCAATGTCCAAGTTGCCCATCCCTGTCTACTCTTTGTGTGGAGTGGGTGGGAATAATTCTTGCAGCAGGGATTTGTTTCCTCTTTTGAGCTACTGATACAAGTTTATCAAATTGTATCATATGATGCTTTTTTCCTCTTCTTTCTTCTTCGGGTTGAGCTCTGTTTATCCAGTCATTGAAGCCAGGTCAAGTGGGTATCGTCTGCAAGTGTGGGTGTTCTTGAGTCTGTCCGCCCTCTTCTTATCAGCTGGCCGCTTCGCTCTCCACTCTAGTCCTCTGTGCCCATGAGTCCCCAGGTCTTGCCTCCCTGCTGGCTGACCAGGTCTCCACTCGGATTCACAGTAGTCTGCTGAACGATGTAAGACTTAGCTCGCCGCTTCATTGATGTTCTTCGGTCACTTCCCCTTGTGGGTGACGTGCGTGGTCGCCAGTCAGAGCGTGTATTTCCATTGCGTCTTAGTCTTGGAAGAGGATTTGCACTGAGAGGACCCAACCACACTTGCCTTGATGTCTCCTAGCCAAGCAACTTGCTTGTTCTTGTGGTAACAGTTGGACTGCCCTTATTGTTTTGTATTTTTCCTGTAGGTCTTTCTTTCAAGAAGTGTCTTCTGGTTTTCTAGCTGCTCCAGGGTGGTCTGCTTGTCCTTTCAAGTGCAAAATTTCCTGTCTCTGAAGGTCTGGATGTGGTTCAGGCTTCCACCTTATGTAATGCAGAGGCTCCTCAGGGAACCTCCTTCACTGGACACGTTGTAGCCCCATTTTAGGTATTCCAATCAGTTATAGGCAGAAGACGGACTTACAAGCTTTCTATGGTGATATGTCTGTCTGGCTATTCCTTTCTCTCCCCCTCCAGTGTCTGTTTTATAATACAATGCACGGAAAACCAAGGTTCAAAAGACAGACAAGCATCTCAACATTATTCCCCCCTTTTCCCCATTCCAACCCTGTCTCAATCTCTGTATCCCAGTGCCCTGTTGTTCCAAGGCTGTGCCTACATCATTTTTTACCTCTGTCACATTTAGCCCATTCATACCTAATTGTTCTCCCATCTGCTTTGTTCTTCCATTCCCCTCTCCCTACTTGTGTATTGCCCCCCTCCCCAATACCCAAATTATCCTGTGTCTATTCCCTGCCCTGTGCTCCACCTTCCCCTCCAGCCCCTAACCCTACCTACGTCCCAGCAACCAGCTAAGAATCCACTTTAGTGGATTAGTATGGGTTCTTTTTCTTAGTCTTTTACAGTAGTGGTCCTATGCAGTATTTTTCCTTTTGTGACTAATTTCACTCAACATAATGTCCTTAAGGCTCATCCATGTTAGGAAGTGGCATGCAGCTTCCTTGTTAATTTTTCAAGGTAGCATAATACTCCATTGTGTGTATGTACCACAGCTTGTTTATCCATTCTTCAGTTGATGGGCACTTTGGTTGACGCCATCTTTTTGCTATTGTAAATAGTGCAGCTATGAACATTGGTGTGCATATGTCTTCCCGTGTTGTGGTTCGTTTTTCTTGTGGGTAAATACCAAGCAGAATAATTGCTGGATCAAATGGTATTTCTATTTTCAACCTTCTGAGGAAGCTCATATTGCTTTCCAGAGAGGTTGGACCATTTTGCAGTCCCACCAGCAATGCAGGAGTGTCCCAGTCTCTCCACATCCCCGCCAGCATTTATTGTCCTCAACTTTTTTAATCTTTGCTGTTATTGCTGGTGTGAGATGATATCTCATTGTTGTTTTTGAACACATATTTTACCAAGGAAAATATATGGATAACAAATAAGCACATGAAAAGGTGCTCAAATGTATTAGTCATTATGTTAAGTACCATTGAGTCAGTTCTGACTCATAGTGACCCTGTATAGGGTTTTCAAGGAGTAGCTGGTGAGTTTGAACTGCTGACCTTGCAGTTCAACTGACCTTTTGGTCCAGTGCCTATCTTACAGCACCACACCAGGACTCCTATTAGTCAATGTTGTTGGTGATAAGTGCAGTCAAGTTGGTATTATTTTTCACCAACACCAACATCAATCAACCCATAGTAATCCTGAATAGAGTTTTCAAGGAGCAGCTGGTGAGCTTGAACCTCCAACCTTACAGTTCAAACCAACTTTGTAGTCCAGCACATTAACCCATAGTGCTACACCAGGACTCCAACAAAAGTGGGTAACAGAAGTTAAAACCACAGTTTTAATTTATTAGAATGGCTACTTTAAAAAAGACTTACCATTTCATGCATTGGCAAGAATGTGGAAGGACTGGAACACATATCACTAGTACCACTATAAAATAGAAACCATTTTGGAAACAGTTTGGTAGCTCATTACAAATATAACTCACCTTCAATAAGATCCAGCCATGTCACTCCTAGGTATTTCTCCAAGAGAAATGAAAGCACATGTTCACAGAAAGATGTGTACATGAATGCTTATGGAAGCTTTATTTGTAATTATAAAGAATTAGAACCAACTCAAATGACCATTAAAAGGCCAATAAACAAATTGAGATATAGCCATATAGTGGACTACTACTCCACACTAAGAAGGATTGCATTATTGATATACAGAAAACTATGGAGGAATCTCAATATTTATGCTGAGCTAAGAAGCTGGACAAAATGGTATCTACTATATAATTACATTTCCATAAAATTCCGGAAAATGCCAATTCATTTATATCAACAGAGAGCAGATCACAGTAGTTTCTTGGGGATGGGAGGGGTTGGTGTACAGAGGGGAAGAAAAGGATTATAAGGGGGCACAAAGAAAGTTTTGAGGATAGTGGATATGTTTATTAACTTGATTGTAGAGTTGATTTCATGAATGTGTATATATGCCAAACATCAAACATATACTTTTAATATATGCAGGTCAATAATAGCTCAATAAACTATTAAATAATTTGTTTTTCTTTCCAAATTGATATACTACTTATACATCTAGTAGGTGGTAGCTGGGACCATGGACTGTGCCAGAGTGTTTACTTTTTAACCCTCCAGCAGTATTTTAGCTTGTAAAAGAATTTATCAGGAGAATATCAGTGTAGATTAGCATCACAGTCACTATACAGGGTCACTATGAGTCAGAACCGATTCCATGGCACATAACCACCGTCACCATTTATTGCTTTAAAGAAAAAAAAAAAAAGCTGTAAGTATATTATGTATGGAATGCAGAATAAAGAATGGATATGGTCCTCTTCCCCAAGTAATTTGTAGAGTCCAGAGGCTGCTTCACAGTTAAACAATTCTTTGCATTTCTATAGTACCTTTTTTAGAAGTGTGCTAGCAAAATCACCCATTATCCCTTGTTAAAAATGCTCTACCTTTTAAATATTGTAAATAAACATTTAGGCCTATTAAGAATATCATTGCTTCATTTTTCTAACTAGGTTGAGATCTCAGATCTAGATTTCTAGATGTCTTCAAAGGTTCATCCAGCTGGAATGAAATCCTATCATTTATCCTGCATAATGGTAGGGGCAAATTCCTTTGACACCCAGGCCAGTTATCTGTTGAAAAAAAGAGAAATTCTAGTATTTAGTATTCTTCTAAATTTAGTATTCTTCTAAAGCATTTTTATGATTCATAATAAAAATTTAGCCACCTATTATCCTTGTTTTATATCCTATCATAAAAAGGAATTATCTGTCTAGGCACTTCATGATTAAACCCTATTATTCACACAGCAACTATTTTCAAGTAACTTGGGTTTAAAATGGGATGCATTTCTTTTCCATTTCCTAAGGTTTGAGTCAGATGATTTCTTTGTTTCTTTTCTTCTTCTTCTTCTTTTTTTTTTTTTGGCATCAAAATACAGTCTGTAATTTAATGAAAACATCCCTTTCATTTAATTAGCTATCGGAGGCCCTGCTCTACTTTGGTGATTACTTTGGAAGGAATCTGTCCCATCTCTTCTCACATTGCTCCAATTAGTCAAGCCCCAGAGTCCTGATTATTAACCCTGGAATCAGAATGCAAATTGGAGTATTCATGTGCTCTCTTCTCTCAAATACAAAGACAATCTTCACCTATTTTCCAGAAGCAAACATTGCTAAACATTGGACGTGTAAATTTTTTTACACGTCCAATGTTTAGCAATTCCGAGTCATCTAGTTTGTCTTCTGCTGTTTGTTTGCTTTCCATTATGTTTGCTAGTATATTTATTTATGCCATGTATCAAAGCCTCTAAGTTTTTCCTTATTTTTTCACTGATGCTCTGATTTCTACATTTCTTTTCAGCTCTGAAGGTCTATAATTTTATCAGTATTTGTCTGGTTGTAAAAAATTATGTTAAAACCCTGAAATCTTGTGACATCAAAACAATCAACAAATCTTGTAAACAAGTTTCAAATAATGGTTTTTCTAAGCTCATTTTATTAATTTGAAGAATTTCAACAAATGCTACTTAAGGTAAAAAAAAAAATCTTTTAAGTACTGTAACTTGAAGTAGGCTAAACACAGAGTCCTTGGACTTCAGATAAACTATAGCCTATAAAATCTAAATAAAATGTTTTAAAGTCTAGATTGATGTGCTTAAAATTTTAAATAGAGTACAACTTGGGAAAGCCAGAACCTATGTAAGGCAGAACCTGTCAAAAACAGAAAACTCAAATATGAGGTGAAATTGAAGCACTGGGCTTCTGTTTTGTTTGTTTATTTAGAGAGCAATAGAAAATTTGTAAGACTGCACTGTCAAAGGCAGAAAACTTGCAAGACCTGGATAAACAAGGCAGTCCCTTCAAGTTCTGGCTTTCACAGGTTTCACTGTCTAATTATGTTTGTTTTGAAAGTATGTAAAAGCACTGATCAGTCAGTCACTTAACAGAGGATCTTCTACCCAATTCCCCAAATAAAACAAACAGCCAGATCACCTTGAAAATGCCACCAGCTTCAGGCTGCCTCAAGAGACCTTCAGGATCCATCCCATCCCGTGCACAGGTCACATACAGTTCAGAATAATCTTTCCCTCCGAAGCAGCATGAAGTTGTTTTATCAACAGGCAATTTCACAGTTTGAAGTCTTTTCCCTAGATAACCAAATATTTTATTTAAATCATAGTTCTAGCACATGTTCCAACCTGAGCCATGTTTCTGGATCTCTTGAGGAGTAATAGAGGAGCTCTAAGAAGGTGGCGGGCTCCTAACTGCAAGGCTGACAGTTCAAAACTCCCAGTGGCTTTATGAGAGAACGAGGAGGCTGTTTGTTCCCATAGATTTACAATTTCGGAAACCTATGAGTCAGAATCGATTCGATGGTAGCAAGGTTTTTTTCTTTTTCTTTTTTGTTTAAGAAGCCCTGGTGGCAGGGTGGGTTAGGGATCAGGCTGCTAACTGCAGGGTTGGCAGTTTAAACCCACCAGTCCCTCTGCGGGAGAAAGATGATGTGTTCTGTTTCAGTTCAGTTTTACAGTCTTGGACACCCTAAGGAGCAGTTCTACTGTATTCTATAGGTTCACTATGAATTGGAATCAACTCAACAGCAGTGGGTAAGAAGACTCTGAAGGTTAGAATGCATCCATACATTTAGCCTACCTTCCCTGGCATTTTATTTTGAGCAAAATGATTTATCTTGAACAGTTAATGATGATGACTGAGCAACATGAAGAACATATTTAATATCACTGAACTGTCCATGTGAAGATGTTGAAATGGTAAATGTTATCTATATATGAGTTGTTGTTGTTAAGTGCTGTCGAGTCGGTTCCGACCCATAGCGACCCTG